CCCGACACTTCCAACTGAGCGAAATTTTAGGTTTGGGAGATGTAATTAAAAATATCTATATGATTTGGTTGTTTAATAAATTTATTTTGGTTTTGTTGGGTTTTTAGTGAGACAGCTAACTCAATTTCAGTCCGGTTTGTCGTTAGATTTGAACGTTTAATACAAGGCAGATGAAATATGGAACAATTTTACTTTCACTTTAATAATAATTATTGCCAAACAAATTATGAAAACACAAAAGTCAAAAGTGATGAGCCGCCAATGCATCACAAAGTTGTCCAGTTCTTCTTGTATTAGTTCGGTCATTTTGTTGACTCCATGTCCGATTTGTTCTGATAGTTACGGTGTTTTCTTGGTTGATCTCTCCCCAGATATTCCATTCTGGCCGTTTGGCTTGATAATTGCTGTAGGTCTGTTGTTATGATAAGATTTCCAGCTCAGTATTTATTCTTTCAATCTCAAAGTGATCGGTGATGCCACTGGCAAATTTTATTGACTTCAATTCGGGGTTGTTCGATTTGCAAGGTGCAATTTGGAAACTTCCATCGATATGTTTTGCGATTATGTCGTCCCTTTGTAGTATAAGGTTAGCTGCTGCAGTAGGATTATCATGCGATAGCCACTCAATAGGTATTAATAAGTTATTACGATTACGGCGGCTATTTTGATACATTTCATTAAACTTTTGCTGAAATTGTTCTTGAGGAGTATTATAGAGATACTGAAGTTTAGTATTTTCCGGATCAGTTCCCTTTTCTTTAGTGTTTTCCATCATGAGTAATCCTTCATAAGTTGAAATCACCTGGTTTGTATCTTGGTAAAGGTTTATTATATTTATTTTGTCGATTACGATATTGTTGTCCATTGTATTGAGATTAATGAAATCGCAGTTTCTTGAATCAATTGTTTCGTTAGACTTAAATGTAAATGCCATTTGAAGTTCATTAACAATGATGTGAACGTCATAGACTCGTGCTTGATAATTTCCAATTTTTCGATATAAGCACTTACAGTTTCTGTTTTATTCCATAGAACAATATTTGTATTAGTTATACATTTTCCACTTTGTGTCGCGAATTCCGATTCGCGAGACTCCAACCATACCCCAAACAAACAAATTTTTTACTATAAGTAAATGTTAATAGTATAAATCATTTAACCAATTTACATTCTTTAAAATTATCTCCC